GTTTTTTTTAAGGAAAGGATGGTGTGTCTCAATCACGCTGGGATGAAAATAGCCTAGCGAACTTATTTTTGTTCCTAGTCAGGTTCAGCATCCTTCGTGCCAGTTCTACAGTCATTAAGTCTCACAATGTGTTAGGTTGGTGGCAGTTTAAACAGATCCACAGGATTTGGCAATTCGTTGCAATTTTAAAATAAAGCCTAATCTTTTTTTTTTTTTAAGTACCCAACTTTTGGACGTAAACTTGCTTTCCTTTTAAACCCAGGTCCGAGGAACTCTCCCCGCCTACCGCTGGTGATGAGAGGAAAAGAATAGAAATGCCAATCGCCAGAGGAAAGTAACAATACAGAAATGAAGGAAGTAGAAAAGCAGAAAGATCATAATCAAACCCTGCTAACCATGCAAGCACATGAGAAAGTTTTCTCAGTTTGTAAGTCATTTTTCCTTCTGGCCCAGAACTAAGGGTTTTTGCTTAAGCATGTTTTATGCCCTCATTACGTTTTCTTAACAAGACCTCAAAAAGCATTCTGATCACCTGGATACTTGAATAACCAATAGAGTTTGGCCTATATGATCGTAATTATCAATGTATTTCATGACACACTAAGAAATAGACTTTAGGACTCACCGTTATTTCATGTGAAGAAAGAAAAATACTGCCATTTAAACTATGCAAAGCCACTGATACTTTTTAGGACACATCTGAAATTCATAGATGTTAAAATGTGAGAAACAATGGGTCTTGGAATCTATGAGATACTGTAATGAGCTGGTGTTCCAATGAGGGAAAGATTCTACAGGTTCTGTTCTGAAGTCTGAGATACTGTATTTGTAGTTCAAATAAATACGAGAAAAGTTTTATTATTGTGTGAATGACACTAACTCAGTAACTTTGGAGTTTGGCATCAGACTGAAATGTCTTCTATTTTCTAGAGCACTATTTTTTAAATTGACTTAAAATTCAATTTTATTTTTTAACAAATAGGCTGGAATGAATAGAATATAACGCTCAGAGTACACATTTAGTGTGGACAAGAAATTGCTTTGTGAAATTTTTGTTTCATTTGTGGGGAAGAATAAGAGTGTGTCCTATGTTGTGATTTAAACTGTGTTTCTTAGTGTGAGTTGCAATCAAATAGATTTGAAAAAGAATGTTCTTGGAGCACAAATAACATGCAAAATATACCCTCTGGGCTCTGTTTCTCTGGTTCTTTTCCTTTACTCTGGGAACTAAAACTACAGATCAGTAAAATAAGGCAAATCTCCTTGACAATCCTCTCCTGCGTCAGCCCAAATTTCTTCTATTGGTTGTTGAAAATAAACAGTCTTTTGTTGGAACGGAAAGCACCGTTCTGGAAGCAAGGTGGTGGTGGTTTACAGACTCTGCTAATTAGATGTGTGACTGGATGAATTACTCTCTGCATATCAAGCTCTGATAAAAAGTAGGGAGTTGGGGGGGGGGGCGCCTGGGTGGCTCAGTTGGTTAAAGCATCCAACTCTTGGTTTTGGCACAGGTCTTGGTTTCAGCTCAGGTCATGATCTCACAGTTTGTGAGTTCAAGGCCTGCATCGGGCTCCACACTGATGGCTGAGAGTCTGCTTGGGATTCTCTCTCTCCCCACCCCCCCCCTCAAATAAATAAATTAATTTTTTTAAAAAGTAGGGAGTTGGACTATATGCTGTTTAACCAATGTTATTCAACCTTTTTTTTTTTCAGTGAATGATATTCACATTGGAAACAAACAGCCAGGATTATGCAAATTATTGTCTAGTCTGACTACCTGTAACTGCTATCAACCACACTCAAAAAAAGTCAATGCAAGTTCATGAAAGTGAAGATATTATGGGACAACAAATGTAAGTGTATCTTTTGTAATTGTATTTTAACTGTTGCTAGTAATAGTTGCTTGTCATGAATGATGATTTTGACATACCTCACAATTGATTGCAACAAAATGATGTATCAATACATTGCAAATGAGAAATACATACTTTTCAGATCCTTTCACATCTAATATCGTATGATTTCAGGAAATGATCAAGCTAGCATTTTGATGTAATCACAACATAAACAGAAACTGTAATGTGTGATCCTGTGCTATAACTGAAAAATATCCTAAAACTCCCATTTGCTATGTTTACATACCTTGCAAGTTTGCTACTCTTAAAATTATTTTGAGAATAATATTTTTAATAAAACTTTTTAATATAATTGTCCAATTTTATTATAACTATTCCATTTTAACTCCAGTAAGAATCTCTTACGCCTAGTGTTTAATTCATTGTACATTTCTGACAATGAGAAGTTCTTTTTCCAAATCAGTTAAAGCACTGACAGGCACGATAATTTTTCCCACAGAATATGCATCATCCCTGACCTAGAATGAGAGAGATTGGCTTGAAGTTGTTTTCTGTTTTTTTGTTTTACTTTTGCCTATCCATTTAGACATTTATGTTGCCAAAGATTGCTAATGAAGATTTTAGGTTAAAATCCTCATTTTCCCAGAGAAGATTAACAGCAACCTCAAACATAAATAAGATATTCAATACAACTTTGAAGATAGATTTGGTAGATTATGTTATTACTCTTGGCCATGTAACTTGCTCTAACGAATGGCTTATGAGCAGATGTAACACATGCCAACTGCTTTTTTGAGTGCAACATTCAGGTCAATCTCTTGGTCTTGTGCTGCCTGGCCATGAGAAAGGTGTGTTCCAAATAGGGTCTCAGAATGAGAAAATATGTGGAGCAGACCTGAAACTGACCTTTAGAGCAGTACACCAGCAGCTGACCTGCAGCTACTAACATGAAGCAAGAGTGAATCATAAATATTTGTTGTTCTAAATCACAGAGATTTTTGAAATTGTTATATAGTATAATCTCACAAATCAGCTTAAGTGAATTTAAGCCAACAGATAAGTGGTTCAAAGGCTAAATGCACTGTAGAACAATAATAATCTTCAATTTAATAAAACAAAATAATAGACATCTACAAGGTGCCTGGCTGGCTCAGTCGGTTAAGTGTCCGCCTCTTGGTTTCCACTCAGGTAATGATCTCATGGTTTGTGGGTTCAAGCCCCATGTCAAGCTCTGTGCTGACAGCACAGAGCCTGCTTAAGATTCTCTCTCTCTCTCTCTCTCTCTCTCTCTCTTTCTCCCTTTGCTCCTCCCCCACTCAAGCACATGTGCATCCCCAGACTCCCTAAATAAATAAATAAATAAATAAATAAATAAATAAAATAATTAATAGACATCAACTAGATATGTGGTAAGCACCCAACCAAAAATTTATATTAGGGGCTCCTGGGTGGCTCAGTCAGTTAAGCATCCGACTTCAGCTCAGGTCACAATCTCACAGTTCATGAGTTTGAGCCCTGTGTTGGGCTCTGTGCTGCCAACTCAGCCTGGAGCCAGCTTCAGATTCTGTGTCTCTTTCTCTCTCTGCCCCTTCCCCACTCGTACTCTTTCTCTCTCCCTCCCTAAAAAGTAAGCATTAAAATAATTTAAATAAATTAAAATTTTTTTATATTAAAAAAGTAGTCTGGGGTGCCTGGCTGACTCAGTTGGTTAAGCATCCGATTGGGCCCAGGTCATGATCTCGGGGTTCGTGAGTCTGAGCCCTGCGTCAGGCTCTGTGCTCACAGCTCAGGGCCAGGAGCCTGCTTCGTATTCTGTGTCTCCCTCTCTCTGTGCCCCTTCCCCAGCTCACACTCTGTCTCTCTCTGTCTCAAAAAGAAATAAACATTAAAAAAAAAAAGTCTATTTGAAAAATCTACAGATTTTCTTGCAAAGTATTTACATATTGATTTTAAGTATTTCTGTTTAATATTATTTGTCTTAAATATCCCTCAATGAAAATTTGGATAATAAAATACAAAGAATATAGGCTTGTATTTCTGGCAATATCATGGCTTATATACGTCACTCAGTGATCACACTGGAAACAAAAATCCTGGAAAAATGTTTTAAATTCTATTAAATGTATTGATTAACTGGTAATAAAGAAATTAGTAGTTCAAAACTGGAATGAAGGCAGAAACCTAGATAGAGAGTTTCACTCCAAATGACCCCAAGGGCATTTGCCAAATCCAGTTAACATGAGCTTTGGTGTTCATGGCCTTATAAAAGACAAAACCCATGACCTGCCCTATGCCCACAGAAAGCTGCAGTTCCAAGGATTATTCACTTACTGTAAAGATGTATTAGAAATAAACTTGCCCCTTAGTAGCATACACACCTCTCCCCTATGTTCTACAAAGAAAATTACTGTCTTAAACGTGGCACCTAGTGGAGAGGGGAAAAGCAAAATCATATCTGAGAATTTAGACTCACAATCCAGCTCTTATGCACACAAAAAAATATAACTTGAATTCATATTACCTGGATGATCCCAGAAGGTATTCACCTGATAATTGAGAAGAATGACTGATAGTACTTTCAGACATCTGGCAGAAGCAAATGCCAGTCCTCTCTGGAGGAACCCATCTTCAATTTAAGCCTTAAAGAATAATAAGTAAAAGTCTTAGGAAAATAGCTCACATTTTAAAAAATAACAAGCACAGAAGAAAATAAGACACCATTAGTGAGAAACAGTGAACATAAGATAGCAAAAACATTTAAAAAGACTTCACATACTGAAATTACCAGACACAGACTATAAAATAACTATATAAAATATGAATAAGGGAATAAAAGATGACCTTGAAAATACATACACAAAACAAGAAAGTATAAAGAATAACCAAAGATATTTTTTAAATGGAACTTAAAGAATTAAAATATATAAGTTATTAAAATTTAAAACTCAGGGGACACATTTAATAGTCTATTTGACATAGCAGAAGCACAATTTAGTGAACTGGGAGGTAGAGATGAAGAAGTTGCCCAAATGCAATAGAAAAAGAAAAAAATGAAAAATATAAAAGAGACTTTATGTGACATTGAAGACATTGTGAGAAAGTCTGAAATGAATTGATACTCCAAAAGAATAGGAAAGAAAAAAATGTGGCAGAAGCAATATTAGACATGATAATGGTTGAAAACTTTCCAGAACTGATGAAAGATTCCAATTCACAGATTAAGAAGTCCCCCAGATCCCAAGCAAATTAAAGAATAATAAATCTACACTTATATACATCACAGCAAAACTATAAAACACCAAAAAACAAAAGGAAAAGAAAACTTTGAAATGAGTGGAGAAAAAAATAGATTATTCTCAAAAGTGTCTGGTAATCGACCTTCATTAGTAACAATAGAATCAGAAGACCATGGAATACACCTTCAGTGGGTTAAAAGAAAATCCAATGCCTATTTGAAGAGGTCTTTTAAGAAAGAGGCCAGGGGTGCCTGGGTGGCTCAGTTGGTTAAGCATCAGACTCTTGACTTTAACTCAGGTCATGATCTCACGGTCATGAGATTGAGTCCTGCATCATGAGATCCAGCCCCAAGTTGGAATCAGGGCTGGGTGTGGAGCCTGCTTAAGATTCTCTCTCCTCTCCCTCTGCCCTTCCTCCCCCACCACAAAAAAAGAATGGGGCCAAAACAAAGGCATTTTTAGGCCAACAAAAGCAGAGTTTGCTGCTAATAGTGATTCTCACTAATAGAAAGTCTAAAGAAATTTCTCTCTTCAGACAAAAATAAAATGATCCCCCTATAAAAGATCTGGAGTTAAGACTGAAGTAAGAGCATTGAAAGTGGTAAATACTTGCATGAATCTAAAACCCACCAACTATGCAAAACAGAATTGTTAAAATTATTTAATAATATTTTTAAAAGAAAATATAGCTATCACTCATGTTCCTAACATCAGAATAAGTCCAATCAGATTCTTACCTTATACCTACTATTAAACAGACCTCATCAGAGCAACTATTTTTCCCATTTGTATTATTAGTTCCATCTGGTATATGCCCTTAAAAGCAAAAACTAACTGAGCACCTGTGTAGCTCAGTCGGTTAAGCATCTGACTCTTGATTTCAGCTCAAGTCATGATTTCATGGTTGGTGGGATAGGGCCATGCATCTTGCTCTGTGCTGACTGCACTGAGCCTGCTTGGGATTCTCTCTCCCCATCTCTCTCTCTCTCTGCCCCTCTCCCACATGCTCTTTCTCTCTCTCTAAATAAATAAAAAATTTTTAATTGAAAAAAAACAAAAGCACTAAACATTTTCATTTATTTTTTTCTCTTATCCATATAGGCAAAACTATATTAATATTTTATTGATATTCTCTTTTTAAATAACTGTACTGCTGTAGCATTTTAAGTGTTTTTCTTCATGACATTTTTATTTCAAATTTGCATAATGTACCAGCGGAGATGATTTATTAATAATCAGACTAAGAAATTAGCATATATTTAGGAGATCATGATTTAGAGTAATAGAGTATTAGAGTTATTTTTCACATATCTATGAAGAATTAATGAGTCCCACCATAGAAGTCTAAAAATGAAAGTTCATCATAACAAATTATATAATTATGTATTCACAGGTTAAGGGCAATTAAGTCTTATTGAAAAGCTCTGCCTACCCTTTCCACCCACATTGCCTATTCAAAATTAGATGCATGCTATGACTTTTAACACTATCTCTGGAAATAGTTAGAAAATTTATGCTCAGGCTGTAAAGATTGACTCCTGAGGTTTAAGTCAGCCCAGGGGGCATCCTGAATTCCAAATAAATTTTTAAATGAAGAAGAAGAACCCATTTCTTTCTGATATCTACCTGGACTACACATTCCCAGCTATAAGTATGGTTTTCATTTCAATTTCAAGAGAGCATAGGGGTGCCTGGCTGGCTCAGTTAATGGAGTGTACAACTCTTGATCTCAGGGTTGTGAGTTCAAGTCCCATGTTGGGC